GAGGCAGCGCTGGACTCGGCGCCGGTGAAGTTGAGCCAGGTGGCGTTGTCCGTCATGACGCGGATGGCGTCGCAGTCGGAGACGATGTAGCCGTGGAGCTGCCAGTCGCCGCGGATGGTCCCGGAGAGGAGGCGCGCGTCGGCGCAGGCGGGGATGCCGTTCACGCGGTTGTAGGAGCACATGACGCTGCTGGCGTCGCCGTCGCGGACGCACATCTCGAAGGGCCGGAGGAAGGTCTCCGCCATGTCGCGCTCCGAGACGCGCGCGTCGAACTTGAACCGCGTGTGGTTGTGCCAGTCGTCCACGTCGTACGCGGCGTAGTGCTTGCAGCAGGCGGAGGTCTTGATAGGAAGGGTGGACGGGTCGCCGCCGCTGCCGGTGTCGTGGCCGGGGATGTCCTGCATGCCCCGGACGAAGTTCACGGCGTAGCGGCCGGCGACGAAGGGGTCCTCGCCGGGGGTCTCGAGGGCGCGGCCCCACCGCGGGTCGCGCACCACGTTGATGTTGGGGCTCCAGTACGTCAGCCCGGCCTTGCCAAGGTTGTACATCGCACGTGCCTCCGTCGAAACAGCCTGCATTCATCCATATACCATCAGATCTGCTATTAGTGTATATAGTAGATCTAATGTTTTGATCTAGCTACAAACGCTCGAAATGCCGACGGAAATCGAAATGCAAATAACACGTACAGATGCAATGCCGATCTGTGATGTACATACATATGCATGTTTCTATTGAGACATGGTAACGTGGCAGCACAAAAGAAAAACATTATTGTGAAGATCGATCGAAATGTACACATATATACCTGTCCAATGGACTTCCAGAGCGTCTCGTTGAAGGAGGCGGCGCTGTTGATGACGTTGGCGAAGACGGTGGCGTTGTTGACGGTGGCGCGGCCGGAGTGGTTCCCCGGCTTGCTGTGGAGGTCGTCGAACAGCGCCGTCGGGCCGGTGTTGGAGATGCCGTGCAGCGCCTCGGACCACCACTTGTAGGGCGGCAGGCCGACGCGAGGCGCGCCGTGGGATATGTCGCCGAGGTTGCCGACCTTCTCCTCCACCGTCATCCAGCCGATGAGGTCGCGCACCCGGTCCGCGTACGGCAGCGACGCGTCGCAGTAGGGGAACGCCGACATGTTGAGGCCCATCTCCGCGAACCGATCCGCGTCGCAGACCTTTGTGTACGCCTTGCCGAAGCTGGTCACGTTCACGGTGGTGGTGGTGGTGGAGGAGGAGGCCATGGGGATGGCGGTGCTGCACAACAGCAACACGGCGAGGACGACGAGGAGATGGGACGGGGACGCCGCCATTGTTGGGAGGGAGACCTAACCACTAGCTAACGTGGTGCTGCGCGATGGGTTTGGGTGCACACTAGTGGGCAACATATATAGAGAGAGAGCTAGCTAGTAGATCGATAAGAGTCAGAGACGGGTGAGAGGGAAATGGGCGGGGTCGCAGCAAAGTTTCAAAATTCGGAGCGGTCTTTCGTTTCGAATAAGGATGAGTCATCCACCGATTGCGTTCTTGCTCTTTGGATAACGATGAATCTGTTTTAGATAGAGTGAATCAAGGAGAGGCGGTTGGAAGGCATACGTGAATGTGAGACGAAAATGGTTGTCACTGAGTTCATGAGAGAGGACGTTACTCGGCCTCACGGTTTTCTTAGGATTTTATTAAAAAATAAAATCAGTAGCGCGCGCACTACATCAAGTTGATATTGATACACGGTTTTGAGGAAGTTCTTCCAAGCTCTGCCTAACAAGAACACATATGGCCAACAAAAAGAGAATAAGAAGAAAACATTATAGTGATCATCAATCCATATATTAGTCCGTCACCGATATATCTAAAAAAGAAGTCCTTAATTAGCCACTAGCAGCAACGGTTGCGAAGCCACCATAACTAAACCCTTGTGAATCCAATTTATGAAGAATAGGCTAAATATAGAGCCAGTGGATGATTGAATGTATAACTTGCAAAGGAAGAATAATATATATTTTTCAAACAATAAACCATTTATGTGTAACCAAAGCTACCAGCATAACACGGTCACTCCTAACAGGATAAAGGTTTTAATCCTTTACTAAAATCCACCCAACTAAGAGCATCTCCAACGGTACCCAATAAACCTTCCCAATCCATGATTTTTGGCAAAAATGGAAAAAAGGCTCATCTCCGACAACTCTCAAACTCACCTCCCAATCTTTTAGCACTTGGAAAACCCCTCCACACGCGTAAAGATGCGCGGACTCTAGGTCGCATGTATCTAAGTTTCCTCGCACAGTCTCCTTCTTCGCGCTGAGTTTTCCCGTGGGCCTTCTTCTTCGTGCCTTATCCCGCCACCGTGGCCAGTCGGGAGACGCTCCCAGCCAGCTGTGGCCGGCCGGGAGAGGCTGGCGGCCGTCTGTGGCCTCCTCATGGCAGCTGGGCGGATGGGAGGCACTAGCGGCCGGCTAGGGTGCCCTGGTGGCTGGCTGCCGCCGGCTAGGGGCTGGCCCGGGTCGGTAGAACTGTGCAGGTCAGCGGTGGCAATGTAGATGCAAGGAGTGAATTATTGTAAACTGTTGGAGATGGTCTTATTTATTTCTTCCAATACTTTTTTGGAAGTTAGAAAACACCATGTTTTTGGGAAGAAATTATTGGGTATTCTTAGAATGCTCTAATTACCCAACATATTTCATGTTAGGAGGTTCTGGTCGTCCTAAACTTGTATCTATTATTACAAATATTAAAGCGCCCAATTTCCCCCCCTTTTTGGTCCGGCTCTCTACTAACTCCGTGAATGTAAAACTATCTCTGTTTGTTTGTCTATGACCTCTCCTATTTTATATGACATGCATTGCTTGGACATAGGTTTTTGTGTAACCTGGATAGTTAGGAATTCTAATCAAATAGATCTATCTGATCATGAGTAAGATGGGTAAGAATCTTAGTCCAAATAGAAAATGATTAAAGTAGAAATTAAAAAAAATATCTTGCCCTAAGATTAAACTAAGAAGAGTTTCTTAATTATTTTTTTCTTTTCAGGAATTTCTCGGTTAAGCCCAGGCGACTTTCTTTGTTTTTTCGTGTGCGTCCGAACCCACAATGCATGCGTGCCGTTATCTGTTTTCTAAATCCGTCCGAGATACGTGAGCGTCTCCGTCCTAGCGTGTCCCTTTTATTTCCGTGTTCGTGCGAGCGTTCTTTTTTTCCCCCTGTCCCCGTGAGCATGTATGAATTTTTGCCCGCGCTCGTCCGAGGTCTGGTTTCGTTGTTTTTTCTTTTCATCATGGGGCTTTACATTCTTGATGACTCTTCTCTATGAAAATTTCATTACCAAGTTGTTGAGGTACCTTTTATTAAGAGAACAATTTTTTTATGAGAACTTCCTTCTTGAGCCTTGACTCTTTATTTCATTACCAAGTTGTTGACGTCAATTTTATGAAGAACAAAATCTCCAATATCTCTTATCTTTAAAACGACTAAAGAGTGAACACCGTTTTGGTGCGACGTTCCAACTGCGTTCATGCTCGTCTCCCTTGTGCAGGAAAGAAACGTCGCTCCGGGCAGGAAAGAAACCTCGCTCCGCGGCGCGGCCGCACGCGCCCCCTACGCCCGTCCGTCTCCCTTGCAAGGAAAGAAACATCGCTCCGGGAAGAAAACAAAACCCGCTCCCGTGATTCTGGCCGCGCCCCCATCGCGCCCACCCTGCGCCCGCCCACAGTAGGCCGCGCCGCCGCCGCACGTGCCCCATCCTCGCCCACGCCCGCCCAGCAGCAGGCCGCGCCACCGCCGCACGCGCACTATCGCCGCCGCGCCGCCCACAAGATCTGGCGCGCGCGCCGCCCGCCGCAGAGAGTTGGGGAACCCCCGTCTAGCCTTTCTCGGTGGCTCCGTGCGTCGCTCCTCGGCGTCCTCGCTCTCCATCTCTCTCTCGCTCGCGAGGGCACAGGCGCATGCCCGCACCTGCAGTGCGAAGCTAGGATCTTGCAGCAGGGTATTCCATGTAGAAAAAAGTTATTACACGATGGTCGTGCGGCGCGTCGAGCACCCACGTGCCCACGCGCTCGTACCCACGCCCGCGTCGGAGAGGAAGAAAAAGGCGCCTAGGGTTTCGGTGGCGGCGGAGAAAAGCGGTTGGGTGGGGCCGACGGCGGGCGGGCGTCATAACAAAGCTGGTCGGCGCCCTACTACCCTGGGATTAGGGTGGGCGGGGTCGAGGGTGGGGGGCGGCTGCAGGCGAAGACGAGGAGACCACCGGTCAAGGCACCACAATGGTTAGTAGATAGATGGGCGGGCGGAGTGGCGGGGGTGGGAGGTGGGCGGTGCGGCTGGCGGCGAGGCTGCTGCTGGCCAGGGCGCCTAGGGAGGAGGCGAGGTGGGGGAGAAAGGGCGCGCGAGGAGGAAGACGGTCACGTCTTAACTCTGTTCATACAAGTGCTAACTTTCTCCCACAATACAAATATGCTAGTGCTAACACACTTCTTTTTCATGTGCATTACAATTTACAAACAGAATGTAAAGAAAAAATAAAATTATTTTTAGAATTTCATCACGATACTAAACAAAGTAGCACCCAATAGCATGGACAAATAAATTTGTTTAAATTGCATCCAACAAATAGACATATAGTGCTTCACTCTAAATTTCATCAATTAAGATTGTGAATTGTGATTCATTCTAAATTAGAGGAGATGCACTGCTCGTCTACTTGCTGCTGCTGGCCACCGGCCGCTACCGCCTCAGGGCAGCACCGCAGTCCGCAGCAGCATCCGCTCTTCGGGAATGCAGATGCGCCGCCGCTAGCTTGGGACACAGTACGCGAGGTGCAGAACAAGCAGCGAAGGGAGCAACGCTGGCCGCTATAGGTCTGTTTCTTGTGGCCTTGTGGGCTGATCATCCGTGGGCTTTTGGTCCAATTAGACAGTGGAATGTACATGTATACTATGTATATTTATTTTTTCTTACCAAAATCTTAGGTATTCCATGACATACAGGGGAATACCCCTGGCGCCGCCCATGCGCACCTGCACGGGGCACGGGGGTCTCGTCGACTGTGACAGGGAGCGACACGACCGCGAAGGCGGCCTCGATCTAACAGCGGCAGCACCCCCGGGCCCCGACGTCCATGACGGACGTGGAGGCCAAGGTCGAGGGACGGGAATAGCGAGCACCTCCAGCGCCGACCAAGGTCTGTCTTCTGGAGCACGGAGGTAGGCTCCACGGGAACACGCAGGTCAGCACCGGACCACAAATGAGTTGATTTGAATCTTACAAGAGACGGAAATTAGCTCTGTAAACAAAACAAGGACATTAGCTACTTCTCATTTGTTTTCATTCTTTTGACATACAGAGGTAACGATGGTGAGCCAAGATTGGTTGTGAAGAGAGCAGTTCAAAGCTGTCAATTCGAAGCTACTTATGCTGTCTGATGTGGCAGGTCTATACAACCATACAGCTCTTTGCAAGTTCATAATTCTTCGGTTTCCCTTTCTCTCCCCCTGCGATACGATTAATTTATTTATGATTCGATTACCCCGGCACTGTCCCCGGCCGCGTTGCCTCCTTCGTCGGCATGCGCATGGATGTCGTCCCTGCCAACGGCAGCGAGTGGGTTGGTCCTCGTGAATTTTCTGCTAATCGTGGCTATATTTTGTTTGGTTATCGTCGTTCTATACCCACCTTTATCGATTTTGTTTATCATCAGTTCATCACTGGCAACATGTCCGGGTGCTAAATTTCAGCATATTGTTGAATGCGATTGGATTTACTGACTGTCATGACCTAGCACATGGGCCTGTAATAGTATTAGGGAGTGGGTCATGATTTAGGCCTGCGTGCCTTTCATTGTGTTGGGCTTGGCCCATATATGAAGCCATATATACCCTTTGGCTGCTCTGTAGACGGTATCGATAATGAAATGAACTAATCTCCTCCAAATCTTCTATTTCTCTCCTCTTCTCCGTTCTTCTCCAGAGACGGCGCCGCCGATCTCCCCCCGCCGTGCGTGTACGCCGGTCCTTACCTCAAGGATCGTGACATTTGGTACCAGAGCCATCGATCGAGGAAGTATGGCCCGACCCGGATCTACACTGTCCGTCGCCACCATCGTCGAGCTCGAGGCGAAGATGGATCGCATGCTGCGGATGATGGAGGAAGTGAACGCGGGGATGTGTAGCACCCTCAAGACCCTCGCATCTGCGACACGGTCGTCCGCGCCCTCGACTCCGACTGCTGCGCCGGCAGTTGCGACACCACCATCCACCCCAGCATTAACTGCAGCGCCTACACCCATCGCCGCCACAACACCCAGTGCCATTGATGAGTGCGTGGTCACGCCCACCGCTTGCAACAAGCATGTTGTGGCGTCGCACATCATGATAGGTGCGCCACAGTTCTCTCCGACCACCACCACGCCGCCCGATGTCATCGACAACTGCTCGGTCTTGTTCTCCGCCTGCAGCGAGCACGCCGCGGCATCATCTACCTCACCGGCTTACATGGCTCCTACCACTTCACCGACCGAGCCCACCGCTGCACCGACCTCCAGGCCGACACCAACTGCTCTGACTATAGCTTCGACTCCCATCCCCAAACTAAACTTGCCAGGTGCAGAGGACAACCCTACCGTCGCCCTGTCGACCAGGTGTTCGACGGATCGCTTCTGCCGCGACACCAACATGCTTATGCCTGGGAGCAGCGACACCACCATCGTTTGCACTACTCGCTCGAAGGGTATTTCTATGTTCGGGATTTGCTCCAATGTTCCTGAGGTCCTTGAGGTGATTGAGAAAGTGACTGGGCAAACTTCAGAGGTATTATGGCTACCTTCCTTCACGACCTACTGCCCTTCGCTACTAGTGTGTTCTACTGGTTCCTGTGTGTTTGACCGTGGCAAGAGCAGCTAGGGCGAATTCATATTTACTGTCATCCTCCCTTGTACACTACTGCAAGCAGTTATCTCAAATTTCGTGTTGGGAATCCACTCACTAACCTTGCAGATTGAGTTGAAACCATGGCCTAATTGGCACGGACATCAGGGCAGTCTCATAGTGGCACTTGTCTGTCCACATTCAAGCATAGTGATATGGGTTCAGTTTAGCTGCGCAGTGCATAAGCTCCTAGTCTGGCCTCTCCATTGCGAGTCATGGTGGGAATGCTGTGCAGATTGTCTTCAGTTACTTGTAAGCGCAGGGCAAGTTGATTCTATCAAAATGGAGGCCATTGGGTTGATTCAATTGCATATTGCTATTCCAGTCACAGAGTTGTACTGTCTGTTATTCACCTGCTACCATCAGCCAGTGCATTGGAAGCCCCCATGGTTATCTCTGGTATACATCATCAGTAACATACCCTATATTGCCTACAGCCTCAGGATCAGGACACCTCCTCTGAAAAACATAAACTCTTTGCTCACAGACACCTGCGTGTTGTGCTCACAGTCATGGCAACCCTTTAGCAATGGTCAGCTAGATGTGCTATTGCGGCAGCCATGGCCACCACCTCTGCTGTTTGACCTGATGGGTTCTGATGGTCCACTCAAGCCAACACCATGGCCATCTTTCTGTGAGTCTGCAGCTGCTCTGCATTTGCAAAATTCATCAGCATTGGTGCTTGCTATTTCCTTAACAGCAGTACAAACATCATCAGTGTGGCAAGAAGTGAGTGGTAAGGCTCTGGACTTCATAAATCTATTGCCAACCTTGTGCTCCCACACTGGCCAAGGTTTATATCAACTGAAAATTGTGATATCATATAAGCACAGTCATGAGCTGCTATTCAGTCTCAGTCAGTATGCTTCTCTATTGCTACATTCTAGTCAGTGGTGCTTTGGTCAGTTATGGAAGCCACCATGGCCATGTCAAGGTCATGTACTGGCCAATGGTAGCGAAAGTGTGGTCCAGGTGTTCTTGTGGCCACTGCCTGTGCAGCATGTGATTTCAGTTGTTTCAATGAAACTTTTTCTGATTTCAGTTCCGAGATGGCAGCAAAAGTGTGATGGTACTATAAAATGGAATGATTTCCTTCTCTTGGATGGGGATCTAATTATTACTTGGAGCACAACTGAAGAGAGGAGGGCTGCCAACTGTATGAGGCATGGGAGTTGCTACTGTTGTGTGGTTTGGGGTGGCCCTGTTATTTTGGTTTTTGTACCAGCATCGGGACATTTACTTGGGGGTGAAACACTGCTGCGCAATATTTGGCTAGTCCAGAAGTGGCACCATTCACACAATCCTGCAGATGCATCTTTTCCCATATACCTGATTGGTCTCAATGCTGTTTTGGCCTTCAATGGCTGTGGCAATAACCACCTGTGTGCTTCTGAGCTTTATTCCATACTGATGCAGCCATACCACAGCTGGTTATCTTTGAGTGAAACAAAATGTGTGGGAGGAAACTCTGTGATGCTACAATTCCCAGCGGCTACCTGCATGATACTATCACCTGTGAATTATAACAACAGCAACAATGGAAGTGTCTTTCACCAGTGGTTGATATTTGCGCCAGTTCTTGAGCTTCTTCATCTCCCATGCTGCAAGCCATGTTCCAGTGCAGGGAAGCTACTTCTTGTTTGGACTGAACCATATGTTATCCAGATAAGTTCCAACATGCAAATACTCTACCTGTGCATTCCTACTCAACACTATGGACTACTCTATTCTGGAAGGCCAGTGCTACTTCCACTTGCCTCAGCAATTTTGCTTGCCTGGTGTGATAACGAGGAGTTGGAACATCACATGATTATTTTGCCCGGTCCTCAAGCGACAAATTTCTGTGGGGCTGCTACTACATTTGATAGTCTTTGGTTTGACTGATTTTCATGGCAATGAAGCAGACCAATCTTATTTTCTCGGAGCATGGGAAGCTATATATAGTGAGTGCTTTGCTTCTACAGTTGTTCTGCCAATGGTTCCTGTCATTCAGTTTCAAGCATATCCAAGTCTGAACTCGGAAACAATGGAAGTCATGTACAAGACACTGACTAATTCTAGCATGCTGGCACTTCAATTCTATAATCTGACGGTGGAAGATCCTTGAAGGCTATTCCATTTATGCTACCAAGGGTTCCTCTCATTCTTTTTAGTGCATCTTCAAGTCAACACTTCAGCAGTCTGCACGTCATCACCTACAAGATAATGGCTGGTTGTACCACCCTGGAGCTCCAATTCTGTCGCCTGATGATTGCAGACCCTTGACGGCTTTGGTTTCAACAAAGTAAATCAATGTCAAACCTCTGTTATACAAAACAATGGCAATGCTTATGTGGTGATTGAAACATACACAGCTTGAGGGCAAGCTGTTGCTTAAGCAGGGGAGAATGTCATGACCTAGCACATGGGCCTGTAATAGTATTAGGGAGTGGGTCATGATTTAGGCCTGCGTGCCTTTCATTGTGTTGGGCTTGGCCCATATATGAAGCCATATATGCCCTTTGGCTGCTCTGTAGACGGTATCGATAATGAAATGAACTAATCTCCTCCAAATCTTCTATTTCTCTCCTCTTCTCCGTTCTTCTCCAGAGACGGCGCCGCCGATCTCCCCCCGCCGTGCGTGTACGCCGGTCCTTACCTAAGGATCGTGACACTGACGTAAAATTTGCACAACTTTTCAGCGTTGTGATCATTAGTGGAGTGCTTCGGTAATAATGGTTGTTATTGTACAATTTTTTATTTATGGAGTTTCTTCACACTGGCATGCTTTGCTTCGTCGATTTGTCTCTGTAGAATGAGTCAAATTGTTTCAGTACAGGGGTAGGTTGTAACTAATCAGTGGGACCATGGCTGCTACTCAAATTCTCATATATTGGTAGATGTGATTGGCTCTGTTAGTGTAAAAATCTCTTTTTTTTTTTAGTTTTTCAACAGCATGATGAGGTTGGGGACTCAAGCGGGCTTCTTGTTTCTGGTATCTTTAGTGCTAACAAAATATCTGGTATTGACAAGGTCACAACCATCGCACAGAAAGAGGGTCTGAAGACTGCACTGCTCGATCATTTCCTAGCACCTGTGGCTCAATTACTGAAGGCAGAAGGCATCGGAATGGGAAATGATGGTGGGTCCACAAAAATGGCTTTGATATTGTGTCAACCTTAACTTGGCATGCCGCAAGCTATGTGAGGCCAGATACCAAGAAAGGAGGTAGCATGGATCCTACTGATTATGTGAAGGTCCAATGTATAGCATCAGGGGATCCAAGAGATAGGTTTGTTTTTTATCAATAGTATTTTAGTTGACTCAAAATTTACATGGCTGTTCTCACCACCATGTGGAACTGATGACTTATGTATGCTGTGTTTTGTATTTTACCGTAGCGTTAGCACGGGCACACTACTTTCCTAGAATAAGCACTGTCATATATAATTGAGTGCACATGGAAGATAATAGAGTGCACGTCCCACTCTCTGACTGCTGCTCTCTCTGATTGCTCGATGTAGAGGAGACTTGAGGGTGCTGCTGCTCTCTACCTGCTGCCACGCTGCTATTGGTGAGTTTGGGAAATATGGAATGATGTTTGCTGGTCATCATCTCAACATCTTTGAAGTATATTTTCTCATGTAAAAATTGGGGACTTTTAGTTTCTGCTTTTAATGTTTTTCCTCTGACAGCGCAACAACCTGGATTAAAGATTGATAACTAGAGCAATTTATATTCTATGAGCAAAATAGCAGTTTAAATTGACCAGCAATTTTCAGTTGCATGGATATGACCATACATGGATTTTTTTTAGAAACAAGGAGGGGTAATCCCGGAGGGGTTATATGTATTATATATGAATTTTCAGTTGCATGGATACTTCATACAGGCAAGCCATTACAATTAGCTGTCACTGAGGGTTCTTCACTTGTATTTGTTCCATGTATGGCAATGCACCTGTTAGCTTTGTTAAAACAAGATAGCATTTTAGAATTAACTCAGTTCAGCCTAGACTTTTCAAATAAGAGATAATTGCTCCTCACTCCTCAGTTAAAAAAATAAATAAATGATTGGGCCACATGCTTGGATTTCTTCTCTGATCAAAGGGCCACATGTTTGGATTTCTCTGATCAAAGGGCCACATGTTGTGGGTGCAGATTAAGCTCAGCAAGGAACGGGACTTGCTGGAGCAGACATCCGAGATGTCATTATTACATATGCAAGGGATGGTTTGCAGTCTTGCACTAAGTGCAAAATTGTGAACTTATTGTCTTCTGTTAATAATTGCTCAGGGAAAATGCAATTCCACTCTACAAGGTGGTGTGCATTAGCATCTGCTTTCAGGCCATGAGAAGTTCAGACACAGGCAATTCAAGGAGATGTTCTTCCTTTGGGGGCATAAGGGATCACGAGGTGCTGGTGCCAAGTCAGGGCATGTAAAATGGACTTGTATGGTAGCTAGAATATGTAATATTAGGAGTAGAATCTACTTGGATATATGAACCGATAAATTAGTTCCAATGTATAGAGCTCTTACGAATTTATTTTTGAATTGTGAATTCACCCACTGCAACTAGATTTGCACAAGATTGGTTTGATTTGACCACCACTTATCTGTGTTTATTTCTCTTATTGAATTATGATTGGTTTGTTTTGCACCATCATTATTTGTTTGCGTTTCTCTTATTTGCACCCCTGCCTTCGCTGCTTCTTGTGTTCTTGTGCTCGTCGATGATGTTCGAGTGTCGAGAAAGCACGTGGAATGTCTTCTTCAGCCATATGAATTCTTGTGTGACGAGGTGATAGATGCAAGTCATAGTACTCAATCAAACGTAGGCTACTTCAATGTCATTTCTTTCTAATGGCTCAATGTATGCAGATCATAGATGTTTATATTAAGCTGCTGAAAGCCCATGAGGGTTTGATAAAGAGGCCGGGAGGTATAGTCTATCTTGAAAGTGCGTGTATAACTGCACTCATAACGTGGATGGAGAAAATGATGAGACCATTGAAGCCAATTATCCTAACCGTGGTACTTCCCAGCGTCCTGGGTTAGGTCGAAGGGTGCTAGCTTACTTGGACCATGACATGGTAGCAATTTTTTTAAATGATGTATTGTTCTTTGATTATTAAATTTTTTTGCTTGACAAAATGTTTATTATTTGATTTGATAGGTGCTCCTTCCAATAAATGTTACTGGTTTACACTGGTACCTTGGTGTTATAAACGCTAACAAACGTGAGGTCCAGATGCTAGACTCTTTGAGCGAGATGTTCGGACATGCTGACCTCAATAAGACACGCAGTATTATCCATGTGATAGATAATAATATTTACATATATATACTCGAATATGTGTACAGGATGGTATGGAGATGCAGAGGAACTTATTCATGGATTTATTGGCGCATGAAAGAAATGGATTTCGGAGATTTCTTACTGTCAATATAAAACATTATTTTAGACGCATCATGGAAAGGTCTATACAGTAGAGTTTGTGAGCCTGTGACGCCGCGCTCTTTGTGACTGTGTTAATTTCACGAACTTTGCCTTTTGAATTAAATGTCACTTTAACGTCAGTTTTTAATTTCACAGTATTGTTATTTTATCATGTGATCCGTATATTTTTAGTATAAAAGTTTAGTTATCCCATAGCAACGCACGTGCACGAACCTAGTATCTAAATAAATGCATCTCTAGGCTTTTTTATTTGTGTGTTTTAACTGTCATGGGCCTTTAAATTCTTAATCCTTCTCTATAAAAAGAATATTTCACTAATGAGCTGTTGACGTGACTTTGATTAAGAACAAAAACTTATCTTATTAGAACTTGGTTTTACTAATCAAATTTTAAACTAAGATGTTAATTTGTTGTCGAGTCCAATCTAAATTAAGGTGCCTCGATCCTCGATGAGGACCGTCACATAGAAAACAGGGAGAGGCCTCCCGTCGTAACTTCTCGTTAGCTTCAATCAAATATTGGAACTACCGTTTTCTATGAGTCCAGCTAGACCACGCTACGCATGTCGGGTCGCTGTTACCGCGTGCCCTGCGGATGCTGTTAGTGTCAGGGACCACTAACACCCCGTCCTCACGTAACCACGACATTATGTTGCATCCACCGTACTCGTGCACTGTGCGTTTCCTCTTTTCCTAGCATCCTGTCGGCTCTCGATCCCCGCCCTCACTCCTGTACCGGACCCCTTTCCCCTCTTCTTTTTCTTTTTTTGGAACACGGCCGCCCGCACGCCTTCACCTCTGAGCGAATCCCCTCCCCTCTCCCTTATCCTCCCTCTGCTCACTCGCGCAGGGAGCGCACCATGGCCGACTTTATCCCCACAGCGTGAACCAACAGTGTCTCCCATCCACGTCGTCTCCACTTCCGGTGCACTGCACCCCACCTCCGTTCGCCATTATAAGATGCCCTTGCTATCTTCTTGCATCCCCATCCCCCTCGAATCCGAAGCAGAGCTACGAGATCCAGTCGTCGTTCGTGGAACTAGGGTCATCAGCTGAGGTGATTGCGTAATCCGAGAAGAAGAAGGGATCTAGTTTTTTATCAAAGAAGTTTAAGTCCACCTTTGGTTAGTTGGTCTTAGGATTCATGATGTTTGAGTTCTCGGTCTCCTGTTTCTGGATCTGTTGGACATACGCTATGTTTTGGATAATCATTTTCTTGTTGTTTCTTCATTGTCCTTGTCTATCTCGACTTCTGGATTAAGCCTTGGTTGTACTAGGTTGCTCTTAACCATGTATCTCTAAATTCCTGTGTGGTTTAGTGTTCGACATCGTGTAATCTTCCGTGTAATTTTAGATCTGCAAAGTAATCGTATTTTCCCCTTTTTGATTCTTGTTTCGAATCTCGGGACAAGATTCTTTTAAGGGGGAAGATTGTAACACCCCTGGTGTTACGAGCTTGCTTAGCACCAAAATTGAGGCCCAAGAGGGATTAGCCAATCAAGTTTTTGGGTTTTAAAATTTTAAAACACACATAAAATGATAAACGAATCCTATGTGACTCACTTTTGTGGACTCAACTAAATATCCCAAGTTAACTTACTTAGTGCATAAAAGTGCTAATGAAAATCCTAACAAGAAAAATGGGATTGGCCGTTTTAATTGTTTGGCACAAAAAACAAACTTTATAAACAAAAATAAAATACGACTTGTATATAGTACTTAAATAAAATTTGAAGTGTAAGTTTAGTAGATCAAAATGCAACTTAGATTTTTGAGAATAAATATTGTTAACTAATATTTTTGGGAGTTCAAAAATCCCAATTTGAAATTAAGATAAACTCTTTTCGTTAAGTCGGCAAACATTTGAACTTATGTTTAAAGTGCGAATTTTGTCAAATTATATTAAGCAAACTAATTAAATAGTGCCTACATATTTTGTTTCCATAAGATTAGTATAAAGTATGGACTATTGCATAAGATGCTTGTTGGGTGAAATAAATAGGGTTTAGACCTTTTTAAAAGTTTAGGCAAAAGTGTGAAGGATTGTTAGTTGAAACTGAACCCTAGATTTCTCTCAAGTCTAAAATTATAATGACAATGCCATTTTGGCATTCAAATCCCGAAAAATGGAACTAAAAACTAGTGTCATGTTTTGGCCTTGTGATTTGCATCTTGACGAGTGCTTTGCAATGGTATAAGGGTTAGTCGTGTTAGTGATGGTTTTAGTCGCTAATTAAAAGTTTTAAATAGTCTAAATTGCGTTTAGGCGTGGCTGTTGGGCCTTCTGCCCGCGGTCACCACGCCCTGGCTTGGCAACGCCAAGGCCGGCCCACGCTACTGGCGGCTGCGGTTGCTCAAGGCTGCGTGCTATCGCCCCGCCCTACTCACCGCCGCCGCTGCTGCCACGCTGCAGCGCTCTGTGCCGCTGCCACTGTCGCCATTGCGGCGCTGCTCTCTCTCTCTCCCTCCCTTCACCGTAGCCTGCCCTGTTCGCTGCGCGCATCGCTGTGCTACCGTGCCATGGCCTCGGGACCGTGCTGCTATCGCTGCCGCTTCACTATCGTCCTCAACGTCTGAACTGTCATACACCAAGTGGCCAGAGGCCATACGCCCATCTGACCGTGCCACCATCGGCCAAGCGCCATAGTGCAAGCATGCCACTGCTCGTCGCGTTTGGTCACATCGCTCACGCCGCTTGCAGCCAAGCGCACGTCTCGTGCCGGTGTGCATGCTCGTTGTTGCGCGTGTGCTTGACCTCGCTAGTAGCCAGCCACGCATCATCGAGGCAAGGACGAGCCGTGTAAAAGCCTGACCCCTCCCTTGTCTCTTTCGCCCGACGTGAGTCCCGTCTAGCCAGAGAGTCAAGGCAGCCGCTGTGGTGTTTCCCTGCCCACGCTCTGCCCTCCCTGCGTGCCCATTTATGGAGACTGCCGCACCAACGGGACTCGTCGCAAGCCATCACCACCATCATGGACGACAGGCCGATGTCCCCTCCCACGGAGGATTCAAAATTCACGCGCCTTAGTTCATTAGAGCTCGATTCGTCGCACTTATAGCTCCGCCATAGAGTTGTCTAGCTGAGCCACCTGCCTCGAGCCACAGCCAAGGTCCGTTGCCGACCAATTTCATGTTTTTCCTCACCACCGATTGCCTCCGCCGCCGTGCCTTAACTCGGTCGGGGGTAAGCTGGTATGCTTTGGTAGCGATTCGATTACTTGCTCCTACGAGCCTGCCTTGGCACCCTCGTCCTCATGTGCGCACTAGTTCCACTGGAGGCACTATCAGCGACTTGCTGGCGCGGAGGTGCCATGCTCGAAGTGCCGCCGCACCGCCCGCTCGTATGTGGCCAACCTGGATCCGCCTTCCTCGGCCCTGACCATCACCTTGGCTAGAACCGTGGTAAGCTCCTGGTGCTCCCATGCCTCCCCGTTTGTCTTATCGCCGCTCTAGCTTACTGGAGTAGCCGCGCCAACGCCGTGAACGACACTGTTCCGCCTGCCGTCGTGGCCAGGCCGCTGTAGGGCCCCGCTAGTCACCAAACCACCTTCCAGGGTCCCTCTTTGTTTAGGTTTAGTTATTCGACCCCTTCTGGCCACCGGCTAACCCTGCCGTTGGCCGGCATAAAGTATGCCGTCGGTGCGCCACGCCATCACGCACGCTCGCCCGGGGGCATGCCCGTTGCAAAGATGAGTCTTTGCAAGGTGCTGAGCGCAAATCCTCTCTCTATTGGAATAGGAACATGTTGCGTTGCGTAGTAATTCTAGTATCTGGTGGCCTTTTTGCAAGATTACCCGTGTGCGTGGGCTCCCCGCCTTGTGTTGTTGCTGGGCCAACGATGCCGCGCGTGGCCGCACCCCGCCCTAGGCCGAGTGGGCCGCGGTGCCCTTTTCTTTCTCCAGTGAATTAGTAAAGATTTTCTAAAATAAATTCTAGGCTGATTTGTATATTTAAATATAAAATCATTTAGGAGTCCAAAAAAATTGTGAAACGTATTTTAAATCATCTAGCTTGGTGCGTTAGCCATTAGAGCTAGCTTGTTAGCTTGGGAGGCGTCAACGTATTTTAAGAGTTATGGTTGCCGTTGATTAATTACGTTTTCTGCGTTGCATCCACGTATATCATAATAGGAACAACGATGGATTGCGAAGTCATCTGGAGTAGCAGAAAAGATGGTGCCTTGATGATCATGTCACCATGATGGAATGCTAACCCTTGTTTACATCTTGCCCAGGCAAGCCCTGATGCATAACCTCTATTATTCTGCACTTTATCTTATGCTTGTGCATTAAGTTTTATGGAGTTGAATGAAAACCACTTGCATATATATATATATATATCCTTATCCTATGAGTCCTACTAGTATGTCAAGATCATGTAGATTGCTATGCTATAGGATCCGGTAGAAGTCGCTGTCACTCGTGAGAGATAGGAAAGATATTATTGTTACTGTCACATGGAATATATATGAATGATAATTGGAGACCGGGCGGAATGGTACTTTAGATCTGGACTTGGTTAGGCATTCGAGCGAGGCTCGGATTGCACTTGTTCCGCCTATGTCGATTGAGGACCGTCCATTGCTGTGGATGGTAGTCAGG